AGCAAGCGGAGGCGGCGCCGCAGGACTCCTCCATGGTGGGGCGGTTGTGTATCATGGACGACTTCCGAGACCCTCAGCGCTGGAAGGAGTTTGCCAAGCAGGGGAAGATGCCCTGTTACTTTGACCTGATTGAGGAGAACGTGTACCTGACCGAAAGGTAACTTGTTTGGTTTTTTATTGAACCCTTTCCCTTGCCTGTAGCAATTTTAGGTGTTAACTTACACGTAGTTCTGCTGTAGCCTTGGGGTTGGCGGTGGGACTTGGAGGTCTTTTCCAACCTTAATGATTCCACGGTAGCTTTTTTTAATGGCCAGATGGGCACGAGTTGGAGGGAGGGATGTCGCATTCCTGGCCCCTCTTGGAGGGCAAGAGACCCTCCCTGGGTCTCTACTCGTAGCCAGAAAACCCCGCTTGACCCCAGCCAAGCCCTAGTGGTGAGAACAGGCGAAAGAAGGGAGGATGTAGAACCACAGAATCATAATCATGGAATCCAACCATTGACCCAACACCACCATGACCGCTGAACCGTCTCCCCAAGTGCCACGTTTACGCGTTTTTTGAACACCTCCAGGGACGGTGACTCCACCTCTGCCCTGGGCAGCCTGTTCCAGCAGCTCATTGCTCTTCCTGTAAAGAAATTTTTCCTAATACCCGAACTAAACCTCCCCCGGCACAACCTGAGCCCGTTTCCTCACGTCCTGTCGCCCAGGAGAGGAAGATTTATTGACACCCTCAGTGTGTGATCCCGAAGACTTTGCTTACTTGCGTTTGTCACCTCACCTGGGTTGTTTTATGTCCGAGGGGCTGTAATTTGAAATAGCTGCGGTTGGTGCTGTGGATCAACCTTCTCCCTCTGGTGTGGGACTGTTGAACAAGATAAGATTCCCAGAAAATAAAACCCTCCGTTTCTGAGCTGTGGGGATGATGAAGTGTGTCGCTTTGGGGCTCAGCTGCCTCCGTCCTCACTGAAAAAATCCTTGCTCTGATTTTGATGCCTGGGCGAGAGCTCCTGACGAGCTTGTAACCAGGTCTTACTCCTGGCACAGCCTTTTGTTCACTAAATTATCTATTTTTTTTGTCTGTTTTAAAATACATTCTTGATTTAGATGCTGAATATCGGCCACTTACATGCAGGTAAACCCCGCTATTTATTTTAGCACAGTTTTTTTTGGTTATTTTTTTTCTTCTTACTCCTTTTTTGTCTCACTGGGATCCAAATTCCAAAGCATTTCCCTGATCATCTCATGGAAACTAAAATATCAGGAGATGCCTTTGTTGCCCTACCTTTTCTGTAGCTGTTTTCTTGTTTTCTTATCATCTTGTTTGATAATGAAGCAAAAGCCAAACCCTCCCAATTTGCTTTGTTGAAAGAAAGCTATTTTTAAATGGTAAATGGCTTGTAGGATTATATTTTAGAATTTATTTCTTTTTCCTCAAGGCCTTTGGATCAGCGAAACCAAGTGGACTGTTCCGGAGTAGCTGAGGTTGGAAAGGATCTTGGAGATTGTCTCCCCAATATTATTTACAATTACAGAACAGAGTGTGAGAGGCCAGTCGAAAAGTTTTTCCTTTTAATTAACTTGTGCTACGGGGTGAGAAATCCTCTTGTCCAGAAAAATTTTCTGGAAATTGGTTTCTCGTGTGACAAAGTGAAGACGTTTCAGTTCTCCCGCTGTGTGTAGCGGATTGTGGGCATCGAGAAGGAGGAGGAAAACCAGTTAAATATCCTGGGATGTCTTCTGGAGAGATCATCTCTTGGGATCAAAACAAACTGAGTGTCCTTGGTTCCCCCTCTGCCTTCCCGTGGTTGTTCCGATGATCGAGGCGTGTGTCCAGGTTCTAGAGAATAAATTCATTTCCTCCGCTAACAGCCGATAAAAGGTTGGGGAGTGATTTCTCTACCCGAGCGCTCTCTAACCTGCGTTTCCACGGCTTTGGGCAGGAAGAAGAACAAATCCCACCGGGATATTAAGCGGATGCTGTGCGAGTGCCCTCCGCTCTCCAAAGAGGAGCGAGCTCAGGGCGAGGTTGCTTGCGGAGAAGATTGTCTCAACCGCCTGCTCATGATCGAGTGGTGAGTTGCGTTTGCCCGAGTTGCCGCCGCGAAGTGACTTGGGGAGCCCCTAAAATAACCGCGGCTCCCCTGGGCGGTGGCAGCGAGGTGTCTGCGCGCTCTCGGTTTCGCCGGCTGGGGTGGAGTGATCTTGAGAGGCTGCGCCCCAGCGCTGAGACCTGTCCTGGGCATCTCCTGCAGGAAGCTAGACCTTAAAACCTGCTACGGAGTCTTCTGCTCCTCAACCTTAACTCTGGCCCATCGTAAGCAGGGTCGGAGAGGGTCAGAAATACAAACGTCGCTCTGCTCGAGATCTCGATTCCCTCTCGTTTCTCCTTTTCCATCTCTCTCGTGGCTGTCGACTCCTTTTCCCTCCTGGAAGAGGCTGGGGGGAGGGGGGAGCGCTCTTGGACACCCCC